GGGACACAGAAGCAAGAGGATCACAAGTTAGAAGCCAGCCTCAGCAATTTAGTGAGACCCTGTCTCAAAATTAAATAAATAAAAAGGGCTGGATATGCAGGTTAGTGATGAAGCACCCCTAGGTTTAATCCCCAGTACCAAAAAAGAAAAAAGAATGGTATTACTATCTTAATGTCTCTCCCTCAATTTCCATATAATATTAATCTCAGAGTGACTTCCTACTAATCATAATATTGAAAGAACTCAAATTACAATTCTAATGGATAGTTACACTCTTCCACAAATATTACAACCTACACATACCAAAATTAACTACTGTTTTATTGTTTCCAAAAAAGGAGTCAAGTGGGAACAAAATATAAGTTAATAAACCTTCCTATATTTGAAGAAATAGCATTCGTATTCAGACAGAAAGATAACACAGGGATCACTGTTAAAATATATCTCAATGACATCAATGTAGGTATCCCGAGACAAGACACTAGACTCAATGATCTATTTATGAATTAACTTCAGAAGAAACTACATAACACTGATTGTTCTACTAACTTTAGAATACTACTCAATTGTGATTATAATCAGTTCTTATTCCTAAAAAGTTTTAAATAATGCAAACTATACTTTGACACCATCATCAAATGTTGATACTGAAATCTTGTGACCATACTAGGCTATAAATCAATCCTGCAGATATTTCTGATTGTACTTTAAATCATAATATTACTAAGTTTTTCCCACCTGTATTTTGTGCTAAATTATGATCCAAGGAAAGTGCTTTAAACCTGTAGTTATTTAATGGTCTTTTCCTCCTCCACAAGTACTCTCTACCACTTGGGAAAACCACTAAATAAATGTCTCTGTTGCTAATTCTAAGATAATCTGAACAAATGCATAATTTATATAATTTCAATTATAAAAGCATTAAATAGGCTGAGGTTATGGCTCAGTGGTAGAGCGCTGGCCTAGCATGTATGAGGCACCAGGTTTGATTCTCAGCACCACATATAAATTAATTAATTAGTTAATTAATTAAAGGCCCATCAACAACTAAAAAGTATAAAAAATAAATTTTAAAAAAGAGCATTACATGCTTCCTCCACCACCACCACCTCCAATGCTGGGGATTAAACCAAAGGCCTAAAGCATGGTAAGCAAGCATTCTACCACTGAGGTATGCCCCCCAAGCCCATGCTCATTTTAAATGTTAAACTTAGCCACAAAACAAAAATGGAAAGTTCCTCTATTATACTCCCCCCCCAAAAAATTCTTACCAGTAATCTTCCACTTTTCTCTGCACATTCAAACATTACTTTTTGTTATTTGTTAAACATCTTAAGAGATGACCAAAGAATGGAAGTGTGAATGTCATAAGATCACAAAGTTATAATAAAGCCTTCAAACATATTTTTTAAATCTCTCTAAAATGCAGAGATTTCAACCTCTACATCTTATCAACAGGCTTTAAGGGAAAAATTATCTAATTTTTATGGTTTGTAATTAAGAGATGCTAAAATAATACCCAACATATAGTAAAAATGTTCTTTATAATAAAAGAAAAAAAAAGGAACCTCCTCAGTTTTGATTACCCACCAAATACTGCACGAGCCAGATTCCCAGTATAAATCAGCCTTCCAGCTTCTGATTTGTCAGGTTGTGTATGTAAGTAACGAACATACCTATCCCAACAAACAGGTATCTATTGAAACAAGAGACCATTATGAGTACAGATTAAATTGCATCTTGAATCAACTTCTAATTTTTTAAAGGTTATTTTAATAAAAATAATGAAGATTAGATGAGAATTTGTCAATAAGTTGACAAGAATAATTCTCCCATATAGTCTACAGAGCTAAAGAAATCAAATTGGTTATCAGCACGACTTTGCTTAATTTCAGTCAAAAGGAGTAGGGTGCTGAGTTGAGAGCTTGGTAGGCTTGCATCCAGTTCTCAGTTTGACCTTAAACAAGTTAAAAGTTAAACGGGATAGTTTCTTAATGAAAACATCATTTTCATTTGATTTAAATGCATTGGTTTTTCAAAAACAAAATAAGTAAAATTATTCGGGCACGGTGTGGCACGCCTGTAACCCCAGAGGCTAAGGCAAAAGGATCGCAAGTTCAAAGTAAGCTTCAGCATCTTAGTGAGACCTTGTCTCAGAATAAAAAATAAATGTGGCTCAGTGGTAGGAAGGGAGGGAGGGACGGAAGAGGAGGGGAGGGGAGGAAGGAAGAAAAAGAAGGAAAAGAAATTAATTTTAATACAATAATCTAAGTAAAACACTGCAAATTCTATAGTATACATAATATTTTTTAAGAGCAAGTCTTTTCCTAAAGGCCTTGTAAATACTTTGCATTTCTTGTTTCTTAACCTGGAAAACATTTGCGAAATCCTTCATCAAATATCACCGAACAAGAGTTCCCCACACAGTACCCACACTTCAAAATGTAAGACATGCCCAATTCCTTTACGCTAAAATTCTATTCGATTCTAATTTCTTAAGTAGTTCTACGTTTCAACCAGGCTTGCCAATATTGACATTTTATAAGGGAAGGAGACAATTTATTTAGATTAAAGAATTAATGTACACACCTCATCTTTCTCCTGAGATAAAAGGGGTCTCGTAAAAATGGAGCCACCTATGGGGTCTGGGGTTGTGGCTCAGTGGTAAAGCTCTCGCCTACCACATGCTGGGTTCGAGCCTCAGCACCACATGAAAAATAAATAAATCAAAAGCATATTTATTTAAAAAGAAAAAATGAAGCCACCTAGCCTGGGGATGCAGCTTAGTGGTGGTAGAGCACCGCGAAAGTAAGGTCCTGGGGTTCGATCCCCCATGGGTAGGGGTGAGAGTGGTCAAGCCACTTAATCTAGAAAATAGAACACAGGTTATTCGAATTCTTTCAGTTCAATTCCTAGGTGCTGCATCCAGTTTCTTTACAAATTAACTCTTTCCAGCTTCTGCTTATGAGCAGAAAGGGAGCTAATATCAAATTGTCATCAGAAACCGTCTGGATCAGCAATCACGGAACCACCCAGAAAAAGAATCCACTCTCCACTTCCCAAGGTGCTCCCAGACACGAGGAGGCAGCTAACCGCAGGACTGAGCCCCGCACAGGGAGGGCTCCTGCCACACTCTAGCCAGCAACAGTCAGGACACCGAGGTCACGGAGGGCCGCGAAAGTTCCCCGGTCCGAACTCTACGTCGCCCGAGCCCTCGGACAGCCGACCTGTACTGGCCCAAGACGCCGGAGAAGGGGGTGGGCTCCTTGCAGCCCCGCGCTCTCGCCGACGACCGGCCCCAAGGGCCTGCTGCAGGAGATCGCTCGCGAGACCGCCACACTGGGCCTTCGGAGCGCGGCAGCCGCCCACCATGCCATCCTCTTCCCGCCAGGCCTCAGCCCTGCCGCCCACTGGCCGCCCAATGATAGCAGCAGCATCCCGCGGACGGGAACTGGCGGCGGACTGCTCCGGGAGCGACCAGTCGCTGCTCTTTACAGACTGCAACTTCGGTTCGCGGAGCACGCCTCAACGCGTCGGGACCGACCGGCATCCGCGCGTGCGCAGAATATGAGTCCGGCTTGCAACCTTACCCGCCCCATGGGTTCCGGCCAATTGAGCTGAGAGCTGGGCGCGCTCTCCCGGGCTCTACAAAGCCAATCTGTGACCTGCGTCCCTTTCTTGGGGTTTGGCCCTTATTAGAGTAGTGCCGAAGGACAGAGGGGAGAGCCGCGTAAGAATGACAAAGCCTGTCCTTCATTCTTTCGGACGTCGTTTTCTAGGTCCTAAAAAAATTGTTTGCTTTGAGGAAATGATTCTAGCCTTTCCCAACGGAAGGCATATGAGACGATTTGAACAAAAGTGAATAATTTGATTTAGCCATTGAAATGATAGAAAAACGAGACATGCTCATGTGATATTGATACTTGTTATCAAAATTTTTGTCAGAATTCACATCATATACACAATTGTTCATGACCCATTACATAGACACACATAAATAAATAAATAAATGATTTAATAATATTATTTACGGGATTTAGGTAGGAACAGAGGATGAACTCAGGAATCCACGATGTTAACAGTGTAACATAATATGATTAAGATATACTGGTGAAAGACCCCAGCCCAACAATGTCAGGCCTAGTGGCAAAACCACCGAGGCATGTCACAGACCTATGCAGGCACCAGAGGTGTTTTTCAGATAATCATTTAGGTGTAAACCAGGTCCCAAGGCATGCCTGAATAAGCAGGAACAAGAGGACCAGAGTGCAAACATGTAGCTTTTATGTGGTTTTTCCAGTAGCATACAGTGAAAAACAACTTTGCCCTTTAGGTAATCTATATGCTGGGTTTAAAATTAACTAATAAGAAACCTATTGTTTAAACTGCCCCTTTACCCTATAAAAATTTCTGTATCCCCAAGCCCGGTGTGCCAGCTCACCAAAGCTCCGGCTGAGGTTCTGCTGGGCACCCGCAGGCGCCTGTGTCCCAATAAACAAACCTCTTGCGCTTTTGCAGCCAGTGTTTCGTGTGATTCTCCTTGGACAGGGAAACGGGGGTCTTTCACTGGTATATAAATTGCTACAGAAAAAGGAGCTCATGATTAATTTGGCCTCATAATGTCTTCAAATCGACTTCACATTCAGCTTTCTTTAAGAAGGATCTGGTAGAGATAACGGTTTACCACTATTTTTAGCCTGGCGGGGCACAGGCCTGTAATCCCAGCAGTTTGGGAGATTGAGGTAGGATTGCAAGTTTGGGGTCAGCTTCCACTATTTAGCGGGACCCTCGGTAATTTGAGATCATAATTTAAAAAGTAAAAAGAACTGGGGATGTAGCTCAGTAGTAAAGTGCCCTCGGTTTCATTCCCAAGTACAGGGGAAAAAGGAGAAATGTATTTGATTCAGTATTTGTTTGCGTAAGTAAGAGAGGAACAAATTCACATTCGAAAATAAAATGTGATCTCCGTGACAACTCCAAAAATATTTGGGGGTGGGGAGCGGAGAGGATCTCTAGAGGGATAAAATGATGCTACTTTGTGATAAATTTTCCTATAGTTATTTTTTTCATCCTGCCTCCCCCCTCTCCCTCCTCCTCCCCCTCTCCCTCCCCCTCCTCCTCCTCCTCCTCCTCCTCCTCCTCCTTTAATAGTGCTGGGGATTAAGGCCAAACCCTCCCACATGCTTAGTGAGCACTCTGCCACTGAGCTATACCCACAATCCTGCCACTTAAAAAAAAACAGTTTAGTGTTATTCATATTCATTATCCAATATCTTACTGATACATATTTAATTTTTTTCATACAAAAAGTGTTTTTAATGTTATTGAATTTGAATTCATATCATTTATCAAGCTTACTTTCTTCCTACAGATACTGTTGGATGAAAATACTTGTTCTATTTCTCAAGGTTTCTAGTTAGCTAAAATGAGATTATATTCTGAAAACTGTGCTATACAGTTACATAGGGTTGTTATTTATGGTCACACAGATTTTCCATTCTTATAATTTAGAGATATTTGTTGAATATAAGCTATTTGAATGGAATTTTAGACTGATTCTAAGGTTGCTTAAAAAGAAAATAGCCTCTAGGCTTTGTGTGGTGGCACACACCTTTAATCTCAGCTACTCAAGAAGCTGAGGCAGAAGGATTATAAATTCAAGGCCAAACTTGGCAATTTTAGTGAGACTTTGACTCAAAAAGTTGAGCCAGGAACAGTGGTATGCGCCTGTAATCCCAGCAGCTCTGGAGGCTGAGACAAGAGGATCAAGAGTTCAAAGCCAGCCTCAGCAAAAAACTAGGCGCTAAGCAACTCAGAGAGACCTTGTCTCTAAATAAAATACAAAATAGGCCTGGTGATGTGGCTCTAGTGGTCCAGTGCCCCTGAATTCAATCCCCGGTACCCCCCAAAAATGGAAAATAAAAATAAAAAGTTGAAAGGGCTGGGGATATAGTTCAGTGATAGAACTCTCACCTAGCATGCAGGAGGATCTGGATTCAATCCTCAGTACTTGAAGCAATTAAAAAGAAGATGGAAACCTATGGAAAAATTGAAAATGGACGTAACTTTTAGAAGGTATGACCTCCACTGTTGTAACATATGTAATGTTTGTGAGGTTTTGTTTGTTTGCTTGTTTCTTCTAAACTAAAAGAGGAAATACAATTGAAAATGAGCCCATGGAGCCCACAGCCTTCTCTTTGTTACTGAGCCAAGCCCATTTTGCCTGATGGTCAGTATAACCCAAATACAATGGGTTTCCTCTTGGTGAATACAAAGCCAATAAGCACAACCAAGAGATAAAAGAGAGAAGAAAGACTTATTACTTGCAGCAAGTAAGAAGAGCACAGGGGATACTTCCTAAAGCAATGTCTTTCTCAAGACAGAGGGCAAGACTTTATGGGAAAGACTCGTTTTCATCTTGAAAGGACTTATCATCACCTGTAGAGGCAGGCACATTCCTGAACAAACTTAGTTGGTGTAATAGTTTGGATCGAGAAATGTTCTTTGAAAAAATCATGTGATAGGCAATGAAGCAATGTTCAGAGGTGAAAAGACTAAATTACAAGAGCTGTAATCTCCTGAGGGGATTAATGCATTCGATGGATTAATAATTTGAATGCAGTACCAGCTAGTAACTGTAGGCAGGTGGGGCATGGCTGAAAGAAGCAGATTACTGGGATGTGCTCTGACTTCTTTATTTATATATCTTTATCTCTATGTCCTTCTCCTTCCGAACTGACATGAGCTGTGTAGCTTTCCACCAAGATGTTTCTGCCTTGCAGTCAGCCAGCCATGGACTGAATTTCTGAAACTGTGAGCCAAAATAAACCTTTCCTCCTTTAAATTGTTCTTGTCAAGTATATTTTGGCCACAATCATGAAAAACTGACTAGCACCGTGGAGATTATGCTTCATACACTGCATGTTCAAAGATGGCAGATCAGATCCCCAACTACTCAGTAGAGAATTTATCATCATGGGCTGGGTATACAGCTCAGTTGGTGGAATGCTTGCCTCACATGTACAAACCCTGG